AACTCGATCGAGCGAAGAACTCAAACCCTCAGGTCTGTAACCAGACACACGCTCGAGCGAAGGAACTATTGCTCGAGCGAAGAACAAACTAACTCGCTCGAGCGAAGAAAAGCTCGCTCGAGCCAAGAATGCACAGCTACAGGTCCAAATCAGACGCAACCTCTCGCTCGAGCTACCAAACCCCGGCTCGAGCGAAGAACCAAAAATAACAGCTCGCTCGAGCGACAAACTCCTCGCTCGAGCGAAGATCCAAAATTCTGGACAGCAACACTTGGTTTCTAAACCCAACCAACCTGAAACAAACCTGCCCAACATATCCTATAAGTCCAAATGAGAAAATAAGGGACACAACAACAATTATACAATGACAGAATCTACGGAACCTAAGTCCGGATACAATAATCAAATGGGAGAAGACCGGGGTCGCTATAACATTGACAGTGGAGTCAGGTGCGCTATCTATCACGTGGAAGGATATTATGTCCTTAGCTACAAGTAATCCACCCTTGAGGAGTTCTTCTTGTCTAATTTCAAGATTGTGATTGGAAATGGTATTAGGACAAAATTTTGGGTAGATGTATGGATTTATGATCAGAGTTTATCCCTTGCTTTTCCTGGACTTTTTTCATTATCAGTTGAGAATGATGGTTCATTGTTTGATTTCTGTCAAAGGAAAGATGGGGTGATGCTTGGAATTTCATTTTCAGAAGACCGTTTTTTTCTTGGGAAGAGAAGGAGCTTCATAACTTGACTGTGTATCTTCAGGTGGCACCCAGTTTAAGAATTCAAGCAGAGGACACTTACACATGGTTGGCTTATCCATCTGGAGCTTTGTCTGTAGCTTCAGTATGGAATTGGATGGATTCAAGTAAAGGGTCTAATCTCAGAGTTGTCAAGATCATTTGGAATAATATTGCTCCCTCAAAGGTTCAATTCATGGCATGGTTAGCTTGGAGAGGTAGGATGAAATATGTTGTCTTTATGAAAAGGATTAGGGTGTTGAAGCCTAATACAAACATCCTTAAGTTTGAGATGGAGTCACAAAATCGTTTATTATTGCATTGTAGTTGTATTTGGAAACTGTGGTATGGGATTGTGGGTTGGTGGGGTTCGAGTTGGGCTACCCTGAAGTTTGTGCAGCCCTTGCTGAGTTGGTGGGCTGGTTTTAAGGTTAGAAATAATGTGATGGAGATTCGAAAAATTGTTCCTCTAGCTTTGTTATGGTCAATTTGGAAACTAATAGAAATAAATGCTTGTTTAATAATGCTCAACCTATTTTTGTGACCTAGAAGAATTGGTGAAAGTCAGAGTGGTCATATGGGCAACGTCTAATCTGAAGAATTTTCATTTTTCTGTGCATGATATTATTTCCAACTTATGGCAGATTTGTTACTAAGTGTAATCTATTGGGGCAGTTCTTGGTGTATCATTGGTGTTGGTACAGTGTATGTTGATTGGAGGTGTTAGTTGGATGGAGTACATGGTTTATTTCTAGAGGTGAAGATGCATTTTTAGCTGGGTGCTATTTCTGTTGTTTTGCTGGTCTTTTTTCTGGTTGCTTTTGTTTCTTTTGTCTCTCTTATGTGTTGGTATCTCACCAACTTGCCTGAGCTAGCTTTTGTTTGTGTATCTTACTTGGTGCCAACCTAATTGGGATTAGGTAAGTGCTCAATTTGCTTTTGCTCTTGGCTCTTCCTTCGTTAATATATGGTCATATATATTCATGTTGATTATCATCAATAAAGTTCTTTGTTTTACTGATAAAAAATAAAAATAAAAATAAATATAAATCAAGTAACATGAATTTTATCTTTGTAGTAGAAAAAAATGTTATTTTGAATAAAGTACGATTCGGTTTGGGTATATACTGGGTATATCTATGTACAACAAAAATTAAGAATAACAAATTTGGGTACATATTTCGTATATCCGGTACGTATATAGAAGTACCATATAAAGTATCATACACTGGTAAGTACCCCGATACAAATATATTTGTTAAAATACTCATACTTTATGATTTTCTATCCAAATAATTTTATTTTTTATTGATCATAAAAAAGATTTTTCGTTAATTTTTATTTTCCATTATAACTAAAGCAATTTTTAAATATGCATGTATCACATGCACTTGCACAAATTTTTATAAATATACGTAAGTTACCATACAAAATTACGTAAGTTTTCACAAATATACGTAATTTAATCTATAAAAATTTAAGAAATCACAACTTTCATATATTTGTGAGAACTGACGCGATTTTGCAAGGTAAATTATCTATATTTTTGAGAATTTATGCAAATATATATGACACGCACCTTAAACACTTAAACATAACAAACACTAATCAAACAAATAGAGCACATGTGTCACATGTCAATAATAATACAACACTGATTAGTAACTCGAATCTAAGGTTACCCGAATCGTCTGAATTTTGGCTTCTCGATCGTTTGACCGGTCATATGGTAAGAAGGTGATAGCCGCGGTCGACAAGACTGACAACCGCGATAGATAAGTGTTGTATCGATCGTCCGAACGATCATCTGAGCAGTCGACCGACAAGCGCAAATTCAAACCATTAAGATAAACTCAAATTTAAGCTACCAATGATTTTGATAATCATATCTTAGTTACCATGGTAATTAGGGTTGTAAATGAACAGAGCCGCTCGTGAACAGGCTCGAGTTCGGCTCAGTAAGAGCTCATTTGAACTTGGTTCGTTAATTTTATTTATTTATTTATTATTTTTATTTATATATATATATTTTTTGCGTTCGAGCTCATTAAATTTTTAATAAACAAATCCAAACATTCTAAAGCTTGACGTCATTAAGCTGCGGCTTGTACCTCTTTGCCGGACCGCCATGTCATTTAATATTAATTTATTTATATATATATAATATATAATATTAAATAATGTAAAATATGTTATAAAATAACATAAATATGCTATTAATATATTTAAAAAATATAAATATAAATAGTTAACTAGATAGTACATTTATATAATAGTGGTAGTAGATATTATTATTTTGGTAAAAGGCTTGGCTTTGGTCCAGTCCACCATCGGACTGGACCGTGCTGTTGGGCTCGTGGAGGCCTACCACGGGTTCCGTTTTGAAAATTTGAACCGTTCAATGTGTAGAACTCGTCGAGTACTATATGCCTGTGAAAAATCACGTTGATCAGTTATCGATAGCTATGTGATCAAAACAGTTTTTTATCAATCGTTAATTAATTCACCGTCCATTTTTTTTATACAAAACTGATTTGATTACATACCTATCGATATCCAATCAACATAATTTTTCACAGGCATATAGTATTCGACGAGTTCTACACATTGAATGATTCAGATTTTCAAAACGAGACCCGTGGTGGGTTCCCACGGGCCCAACAGCACGGTCCAGTTTAATGGCGGACTGGACCAAAGCCAGATCCTTTGGTAAAATATTAATTATACATATATTATATATAATTGTATAATCAAAATTTTAATTGTAATTTTAATCTCATACATAAATGTGAATTTATAAATTTTTTGACTCGTTAAGACTCATGAACAAATTCGAGCTCAAATCAAATGTAAGTCAACTCAGTTTAAACTCGATTCGTTAAATTTTTATTGAACTCAAATTCAAATCCATTAAAATCTTAAAAAACAAATCTAAACCTACTAAAATCCTGTTCCACTCCACTCGTTTGCAACACTAATGATAATGCATTTTTCTCTCACTCCACATAGTACATACTCTCTCTCTTCCCCACATATATTGCTCAGCTGTGATTAGGACCCCCACAGATTTCCATCCCGACCACCCCATACACACATGGGGGTTGGTGAGTGGGGGAGAAGAAAAAAAAAAAAAAAAATTTTGACCAAAATTCAAAGGGGGTCGTGAGGGTGGCTTTCAAAGGGGGTGGCTTTCAAAGGGGTTGCAGTCTTTTTTTCATATATTGCTTCCCCCATAAGTAAAGCTCCACCAGACTCCGTTATTTTCAGTTCCTCTCTCTCTCTCTCTCTCTCTCTCTCTCTCTCTCTCTCTCAATTAAACATGGTACAATCGAAGAAGTTCAGAGGCGTCAGGCAACGCAACTGGGGTTCTTGGGTTTCCGAGATTCGCCACCCCTTACTGTAAATTCATATTGTTTATTATTATTATTTTTTTTGTATTGCACATGAATTTTATATATCCTAGTCTTCAATTCAAATTCTTTTGTGTTTTTTTTTATTTTTTATTTTTTTTTTATTTTTTTATGTAGGAAGAGAAGGGTGTGGCTGGGAACTTTTGAAACAGCCGAAGAGGCGGCCCGAGCCTACGACGAGGCCGCGATACTGATGAGCGGCCACAGTGCAAAAACAAACTTTCCGGTGATTGCAAACCACTCCACCAATGACAATAACTCTTCGTCATCATCATCCTCGTCGGCAATTTCGTCAATTTTAAGTGCGAAACTTCGCAAGTGCTGCAAGTCTCTGTCACCGTCTCTCACATGCCTGAGGCTCGACCCGAACAATTCTCACATTGGAGTATGGCAAAAGCGTGCCGGTTCAAGATCGGATTCCAGTTGGGTCATGACTGTAGAGCTTGGCAAGAAAAAGGAGCAACCACCGGAGACGGCAGTGACGCCAGAAACGTCGTCGTCAACGACGGGGTTGAAGGAGGTCGGAGGTGGGTTGGAGGAGGAGGAAAGGGTGGCACTGCAAATGATAGAGGAACTTCTTGATAGAAATTGAAGTTCAGCAGTGCTAGGTTCACAGAACGTGCATTGTGTGGACAATTATTTCAACAATTGTGCTATGTGCATAGAAAGTTCTAAATACAGAAGGCATGAATGTGAAATAAAAAATGTTTACTTTCTAATCGTAAACATGTTGTATATGTGAATATATATATATATATATTTATATTTTGTATGTACATTTTACATTTAAAACTTTCTGTGAACTTAAACTTTTTCTTATTTCAAAATTCAAGATAGGTACCCAAAATTTCTATCCAGAAATTTATTGAGAAAAATGATTGTATGGTCTAAATTAAACTATTGTTTGGTGGAGTTCACAAATAAAATCAATCTCAGTCCAACATTAATTTTTTTGGACAAATTTCTGGATAAAAAATTTAAAAACCTAACATTAATTGCTATTCTTTCAAGTGTTGCCCACACAGTATTCTAAATGAATTTTAATCATACAACACACTTTTTGTGTTTTTTTAAAGTTCTACTTTCTATGGACTTAGCATTATTCCACATTATTGATTTTTTTTTTTTTTAGATGGCCACATTATTGATTGAAGTTAGTTGGCATTATTGTAACCATAAAGCACATGTATTTGTTTGTGCAAAGCTGTGGGTTTGGGAAATTGAGTTTGAGGGGTGTAAATGTTACCCCATAGGTTGATTTAGGCTTCCACAGATGTATTAAGATAGTGTGCTTATATATTTATTTTTGGTTTGGCATAACCAAAAAAAAAAATCAAAAAGTCACTATCCTATTTAAGTCACATTATCTTATTTAAGTCACATCATTTCTCTACTAGATCACTTCAAACCCAACCCATATCCAACCTATATTTCATAAAAAGTCAAAAAGTACACTTATTTAGTTTGTTCTAAATGTAAATGTGAACAGCGGATATATTTACTAGCATAAAGTTTATAATATTATAAAATCAAATGGGTCCTGTGATGAAAGGAACACATATTTTGTATTGCAAATGTGATGTGAAATTAATGAAATGGGTTCCATGACTTTCTATCAACTTGTCTATGCCATGTTCCACTGGAAAATGATATTTGTTAGTGCTAGTATTTGACCACTGCATTTACTTTCAATGTAAAACTCATCATATTTGGAAAAAAAAAAAATTAAAATTAAAAAATCATGATAAATCAAAATCATAATGTGAAAATTACAATTAAATATTTTTACAGTTTTCTACTTGATTTTTCCCATTACTTTAATTCGCTCTCACACATTTTAAAATAAAGAGTAAATTACAAATACACCCCCTGAACTTTGCTTAAAATACGAAATGTTCTATGTAGTTTGAAAAATTATAAATATCTCCCTATTAGAATTTTTTATTTAACAGAATTAATTGAAAAAGTAAAATTTCTAACTGTTCACCTATACAATAGTAAAATTATCTGAATTATTAATTGAAATAAAATTTAACATTATTAAAAACTGTTAATTAACTTGATGATTTATTAATAAAATGATCTATTTGTTATGAAATTAGAAACTTCAGGAGGCATAATGTAATTTTTAGAATCACAGGGAGTAATTTGTAATTTAAGTAAATCTCGGAGGGTGTGTTTGTAATTTATCCTAAAATAAATTAATGCTACTATAACTAAATTTTTATACCAAAAGTTATATAAATGATATGTCGTCAATATATTGGCTTAATATTTGAAAGCGGAGGCTATGACAATGATATAGATATAACACATCTCATTAGATATACATTTTTTTTTTTGGGTATGAAAATTTGATCATAAGAACATTATGTATGTATATATATATATATTGGTGGTACTCATGTTGAAAAGATTTTTTGGAGGACTAAGATAGTTTTAGTTCACTAGAATAAAAGTAGAATTAAATAAAACGATTGTTCAATAGCTTTTATATAGAATGATTATTCATATTTTTCATATATTATTTAATGAATCAAATGTGAAAAATATGATAAATGATTATTCTATTTCACTTTCATTTGACTGAACTAAACACTAATCTTGCTAGAATGTAGTGCTATAAACATTTATATCCCCATTGCAATTTGCAAGCTTTATCAAAAGCAGCAACATTTCTTTGTGAACAAATTGGACAATGTTGGTTTTCTTTTATTTAGACTATGTTTTGGATCATGTTCCTTTCCTTCTGTAAATTCCTTTCCAAAAATACTAGATCCAAACACAAACTTAAATGCACAATGAGAGAAGTCAAAAGTAAAAACCATGTTAGTTGCTAAAAACTTTTGATATAGTTAGTTTCTATTTTGTATAGTTTGCATTCCTAGCATGTGAAGCATTATTCCTTTAAAAGGAAGTCTTTTAGTATTGTAAGCTATGATAGCATCAACATTATATGAACTAGCTAGAAGATGAGGCCATTCTAGCTTCTGGTGGTGTCCGAAGCATGGCAGTGGTGAAATTGGGCAGCGGTGATGAGGATGGCGGGCTTTGAAGTAGATCTTGCTTAGTTTGATGCAAATCTTACTTTCCAGACCACATCTTTAAGAAGATTGGTGACTTTTCTTATATCGTAGTTGGTTTTTTCCAGACCACATCTTTAAGAAGATTGGTGACTTTTCTTATATCGTAGTTGGTTTTTTTTGGTGAATTTGTTGTTTTTAGTTTTTGTTTTTTTCATTTTGTTACATGGTTTGTATAGCCCTTTGGGGTCTCACATTTTTCTGCAGTGTTCAAAGATGTGGAAGGTTGGGGCAATTTTGCTGCAATGGTGGGAATTTTGTTGGGCTATACCTGATACAATTGAAGGAGTGTTGTTTTGGCAGATGGGAACAAAACTTTAAAAATCAATAAGAAAGATTTGGAGACTTGTACCAGTAGCAGTGTTGTGGTCAACTTGGAGGTTGAGAAATGATGTAATCTTCAATGGTCATCAGCCAAATATGGAAGAGCTTGGTGAATTAGTGAAAGTGAGGGTTGGATTGTGGGCTAAATCAATTATGTCTACTGTCCCCAATTCAGTTCATGACATTTTTTTTTGAACAGCAAAAAATACTTTATTAATGTAAAAAGCAAAACATGCATAAATTACATCAACAAAGCGGGAGAGTGCATCAAGCATCAAAGCTAACCTTAACGATCCCAACTAGGTTGGCACCGCAAATGAAGCACAATCACATGCAAGCACTAACCAAGATTGGTGAGAAACCAATCAGAAACAAACAAACAAACTAAAGAAAGGAAATAACAAACGAAACAACCAAGAAAGCATTTTAGCACTACCAGCCAAAGCAAATTACCCCAACCAAGACCCTACCAGCAGAAACAATAGAAACTCCCCTCCTACAATATGCATAACATCATACAGCAGCCACCTTCCAAACCATCAATCAACACCAGATATCAGCAGATGCAACCAAGACACTAGCGACATTAGCATTGCAACTCCCCTCCAACAATCAGCAGAGACTCCAACATCAACAAACCAACCACCCAAACCAACCACCAACATCAGCTGCAACCAAGAACAACAGCAGCAATTCCTTGAGAAATGGAGCCAAACTACCTACGAGCTGCACCACTCAGAAACAACTCTTAATCAGAATCAAATTAGAGATGAAATCATGAAATGAATACAAGCTACCAATGTGATGATCCTTAGCCCAGAAAACCACTCTAACTTTAACTAGTTCAATCAAATTCTCCAAATTTGGTTGAGCTCCCCTAAAGATACACTCATTTCTGAGCCTCCATAATGACCATATTACTGCAAAAGGAATAACATTCCAGATCATGAGCTCCTTTTTTCTGAACTTGAATCCAACCCACCAATGGAGCAGCTCAATAACAGAACTAGGGGAAACCCAATTATATCCCCACCAATCAATTACACTAGACCATAACTTCCAAGCAAAGGGACAAAGCAACAGAATATGATGAAGAGTTTCAAGTACAGACTTACAGAACACACACAGAGAAACAGAGTTACCCCTTAGGACACCGATTCGATAAAGGAAGTCAGCAGTCTTTAATCTACCTCTCCACACCAACCAGAGCAAAAATTTGACTTTTGGGGGAGCTATATTATACCAGATAAATTTTGACAACTCCAGAGCCTGCCCCTCATCGGCTTGAAGCCACCCAAACAATGATCTAACATGAAAAAACCCAGAAGGAGACGACAGCCATCTGATATGGTCCTCACTATTAACCCTCAAATCAGGACCTTCACCCAAAATCTGGAGCAAACGAAGCAATTCCTCCTCCTCCCAAGCGCGAAGAGGTCTTCTAAAAGTTAAATTCTACCTACCATTAGCATTCTTTTCATCAACGAACCACTTCAACGATCCAAGAGGCTCTGTAGATAAACCAAAAAGTCTGGGAAATTGATTCTCCAAGCTTGAATGTCCAATCCACTTATCAGACCAGAAAAGAATCGAACTACCATCCCCAACCACAATCTTGACGTTGTCCAAAAAATAAGCAACCACTAGTGGATGTGTAACAGCCACAGACATGACATCTCTCCAAATTCTAGATTCAAAATGACATACACCAGACAAAGGTAAGTAGGATCCATTAGTGTGACTGTAGTGACTGCTAATCAGCTGCCTCCACAGAGCCTTCTTCTCAGCCCCAAACCTCCACCACCACTTTACTAACAAACACAGATTCACCTTTCTAATGTTTCTGATCCCTAACCCACCATGGTATAAAGCCTTTGTAACCTCTCCCCATCTAACCAAATGAACCTTTCTTTGATTATCTGACCCTCCCCATAAAAAAGAGGCTTGCAACCTATCCACTGACTTAGCAACACACTCAGGCATCTTAAACAAAGAAAGGTAATAAACTGGAAGACTAGATAGAACTGACTTAATCATGGTAACTCTACCAGCATATGACATCACTCTCCTCTTCCATCCTGCAAGCCGAACTTTGATATTATCCAAAATAGGCTTCCATGTTGATTTTCGACGAGGATTAGCACCCAGAGGTATTAAGTTAGGAGATGTCTATGAGGTGGTTGGCTTGGAGTTGGTTTTTCCTTGCTTATGTTCTGATTCGTTACTCACCAGCTTTGGGTTTGGTGTTGTGTTGTTTGTGCTTGCTTCTTGAAGCCATCCTAGTTGGTTTTGGAAGTTTAGCTTAGATAATGTATGCAC